GAAACAAGCTGGTACCCATCGATTGGTGAGCTTCAAGCTGACACTGAGGATCGAACCGCAGTTCTTTTATTTTCAGTGCCATCAGATAATGACAGCCACCACTGTTCAAATGCATATATTACAAAGATTTAAAAATTGCCGACCGGCGACCTGTGTTAGCATCAGAAAGGTTCAGGGTTTGAATCCCGGACAAGACATGGATGATTTTTCTCTCTCTGTACTATCTGTCCTTACTGTGGGAGCAACGTTGGCCCGCTTAGTATGGTGCTCCTGAAAGAGTGGCCAACAAATCTGGCCTTCAGATGTCTGTATGACGAAAGGTCATGTTCCAGGTGGGCCTTGAAAAAAAAAGATTTAAAAATTAGGTTTTAGGCCGATTATAGTTAAGACACTGTCGCTAACTAATAAAAAAAAGTCTTAAAAATAAATCAGCTTAACATATTTAAATTAAACTCAATAATGAGATCAACAAAGAGGAGTCGCTTCTTCAAAAAAAAAAACTTCTCTTCTAAATCATTCATCCATTCTCCCGAATTTCCAGGCAAGGTGGTATTTACTGTCAGTTTTAGGGTTTCTTCACACTCAAAAGCAAACCAACAAAAGTTTCGTTTTATCCTTCGTTTGTTTTCTGAAATCCTTTTAGTTGCAACTTGTCATTTGTTGTTTTGGGACAATCCCTTTAAGAGAACGTTTACGTCTTTCAAACAAGATGCTTAAATGTGTGATTTTTCCAGACTATTTCTTTTTTTATAACTTTCTTCGAAGGCTTATCTGTTCTTTAGTGATCTATAAAACTTACGTTGCGTGACTTTCTTGGCGTTAAAGTTAGAAAGCGTGATGTGCTTGGTTCAAATTAACGGCGCCAAATAACTATTCTGAACCCATATTTTTTTTAAATAAAATACTCATAGTTTACAGAAACTACACAATAATTCTTTCAAGGAAGAGATCTATTGATTATCCGGTAGAATTAATCTTGCGTTTTCTTGCAAAAACGTTGATATTAATGATAACAATCGCGATGTTATCGTATTAACTTCCTTTACAGTTGATTTTGTTTTAGTTTTGAGTTTTAATGCAATTTTTAAAGCTCAAATTATTACTATACAGATTCTGAAGAACTAATATTAAAAGGATTCAAACAGGAAACAAATAAAATTGCATGCCTTAAATTACACAAAATAACTATACATAATGAAATACAAATTGTAGAAATAAAATTCATATCTCTTAAACACTATTTTTGACTCTTTAAACTACATAAGAAGTGCAAAAAGGAACTTGAATTTACAAAAAGTAAGCATTGTAATAATAGAAAACCGTAGCCACTTAGGCTCATCTTTTGGTTTGTATTTATTTACTTTTATAGATTTAAAACCTGTCTATACGGACCACGTTCTTAGACCAAGATTTATTGCTTGGAGCTTGAATCGTGTAGACCAGAGGTGTCAAAACTGGGTAGGTAGGTACGTCGCTCTAGAACTGCACAATGGGCTATTGGCGATGGTCTGGGAAACATTGCTGAGGATGATCCGAAGACGTACCATCGCAATTGTGATCCTCTGCAGAAGGTATGGCCGCCCTGCTTTGGTAGCTCGTCAACCAGACCTCGAAGTCGAGCGCTTTACGGGAGCACAGTTTAACGAAGACCAATACCCCACACCTTCGGTTCCTGCATAGAATAGGCTTATGCAGGCTAATCAAAGTGGTCACCCACCAGCTTACTGACAGCAGCCAGTGATGCTTGACTCCGGTGTTCTACTGGGAACCGTGTCTTTGCGATAAGTCCTCTGCGGGACCCCAAACTGGGAGAGATTTTTCCCTCAATGGGGCGATGAGTATTAAAAAGAAAATAAATGTAAACAATGCAACCAATCGTTCAGATTTCAGACAAACGAATAAAAAAAAAAGCGAAAATAAAAAAAATGAAAATTTTTGAGCTTTCTCGCCATACTTGGTGTTAAACAAAGATGTCTTCCAGATCCGCTCAGAACTAACAAATAGGTTGAACAGTTGCTTGAAAGCTTTAATGTTAATCGTGTTTTAGAAATTTGTGTAATCTTGAACTCGAAATCACAAACAAACCTGATTACATTTAGTCTTTTGCCAAATTATTCTAAACACTGTTATGAAGACTTTAGAAAAGCATATATTTATTTTGCTAATGCACCCTTAAATTTATTACGTAGAAAAATCGTTATGACTTCCCCCCCCCCATAAGATTGTAAGCAAAGGTTTAAAAATTTTTTTTGATTTTAATCATACAAAATATTTGATAGTTAAGGGGAAAGAATATTACAGATTCAGTACATTTTCGAACAGCGAATTCCAAGTTATTGATGCTCATGCGAAAATAAAAATATTTAAAAACAATATACAAATATATATATATTATATTCAGTATATAAATAAAATATTAATACAAAATAATATTTATTTATTCATTTAGAAACATACGTAAATATTTTTTTAAAATAAAACTTTCCATTCTAAAGGGTTTTTTAAAATATGAAACTAACTAATAAATTATATAAGATTTAATCGATATAAATAAAAATTATTTGGCACTTTTATGCACACTTTCTAACTGTACAAAAAATTTAATCAAACAAAAATTACCCTTAAAAGGAAAGTCTGCACTAATTGAGATCACTTATCAGTATATTGCTAATCAAAAATTTATAGGAATCAAAAATTTACAGAAAAACGAAAACTCTTTGAACCGGGAGGCCAGTATAAAATCGTTTATTTCACAGAAAAATGTTATTTAAAGATGGGCATTCTGCTTTTAATTAGTTGAGTACTGCTATTTTCTTAAAAAGTGCCACTATAATTAAAAAAAAAATACTGTTATTTTATCAGAATTATATTATGTAGTTATCTTAAAGCATCTTTAATGTAAAAAATACATGTTTTTTCTCGATAAGATAATATATTTTTGTTAAAATAAGTTTTCATAAAAATATTAAAAAAACATTGTTTTGCTGATACAAACGGTTTCCCACTAGCTAACTATTTGTTTTTCCACAAATTTAACAGGCTTTTAATTTGTTATTTTTCAAAACAGGTCAAATATATGTCTCAAGATCATAAGTTATCAAGGTGTGATCTTTATCTAGCAGACTGTACCTAAACCTGTAGGAAGTGGTTACTGTTTAGCAACTAGCTTCGCAAAATTTATTTTTTACAGACAAACCTGAAGTTTAGTTTGATTACCCAATATTTTATCGCAGGTAATGCTACTAATACACGTTCATTTCTTAATTAAATACTACACAATGCAATGTGATTTACTTAAGTGTTACGATAACCGAGAAAGATACCATTTGATGAAATTTATTTTTTACAGACAAACCTGAAGTTTAGTTTGATTACCCAATATTTTATGGCAGGTAATGCCACTAATACACGTTCATTTCTTAATTAAGTACTACACAATGCAATGTGATTTACTTAAGTGTTACGATAACTGAGAAAGATACTATTTGATGAAATTTCCTTACAAATTTTGTCTAGACCAATTGGGCTGTTTATATATATATTTTATACACGCAAACCATATGAAGTACCAAACATGTTCTGGCTTTTGATGGTAAATATTTAATATAATAGAATTAAGTTCTTTTATAATAAAAATTTTTGTGATTACATACTAATGATTTATTACAAAAAAATTGTCATAAGGGCACAATTATTAAAAGCACAATGAAATATACCTTGGATATGTATTTATAAGTACGAAAAATGTGACTTAATCATAAAAAAACGCTTTGTTTTTTTTTTTAAATATTGTCTACAAAACCTTACTGAAATTTCAAAAAATACAAATAAGTTAACTTTTTAGCTCAAATATAATTTTTAGGTTGCAATTTATATATCACCTTAAGAATCCTGCATATGATTACAGCACATATTAATGAACGTACAATTTAAAAAATATATACACATTTTCTTCATAGTGATTTCCGTAACTAAAATGTAGTATTTAAGACATCTGTTAAATATGTAAACTTTGAACAGTTAAAAACATTTAATTAGAAGGATCAAAAATAAAAAATAATTAGCAAACTAATCTTAAATATTAAATAAAATAAAATGAAACAGAAAAAAAAACAGCATAAGTATACCAATCTGAACAATGAGATCTTTTATTAAGAACACCCTAAAAATTAGTAATTGTGTTTAGGGTCTAACACATATTTTTTAAGCATGCATAGCAAGAAACAATTTCTTAATAACCTATAATTTTTAAATTATTATTTAGCACAGTAAAAATCAAAGTGAACAACGAAAAGGATATGTAAGAAGCTCATGGATCTTAATTATAGAAAAAATTCTCCAGCTTTTTCAAGTTTTCAAAATATATACAGGGTGCCTCCTCGGTCACCCGACCTATCATGTCTTGATTTCTGGAGTCATATGAAAACACTGGTTTAAGACACCCCTGTTGATAATGCTGGATGAAAGAATCGCAGTAGCTGCCTGCGAGATATGCCTGGAGTATTGCAGAATGTTCGAATGTCCATGTGCCGGAGATGTGAGGTGTACATTGTAGCCGGTGGCAGAAGCTTCGAACACTTACTTTGGCCCATGTGTACATTTTTTCAATGTACTATTATAGCGATTTTTCACTTACGGTCTCTTTTTCTTTATGGCGCTTCTGTGTACGTCAGCGCTTCAGGAAAGCATTTCCGACCCCACATTGCTATATGATTTCGAGTCGTCAGGATGCCCCATACCCCTCTTAGAAGTTCTGAAACGCTTAACTGAGACACCCTGTATATCCTGGACCAAAATTTTGAGGATACAGCTATTAGAGTTTTGAAAACATTTTTTTATTAATAGAAAATCAATATTTTTAACGCTCTTTTTTAACAGAATATATAATACTCAATTTGTAAATCTAGCATATATTTTGAAACAAAAATTTTTAACAAAATTTCTGTACTCATTGATTTACCATGAAATAAATTTAAGGTGAAAAAAAAACAGAAACTTGATCATGAGTTAAGGATTGCATTATTTATTTCAATATTTCTACAAATAGATTCAAATAAAGTATGTTTGTTTACAGACAAATTAATAGCACTTTCACTTCCTATTAATCTTCATATCCATCAGGTAAAGCATTCACTTTGGGATTGTGGAACAAAGTGTGATTGCCATCACCCCAGGGAAATCGCTGAAAAAAAATTAATAAGAAGTTAATTAAGAAAAATAATGAACAACACTTATTAATAACTCATCCTTTTTTTTCCTTCTTTTCTGTCTTAGTAAAACTACTTTACTAAGTACCAATAGTAACTAGTAAAATTATAAAATACTTTTAGTATGACTGGCCAAAGTTCTAATCAAAATTTGCTCAACTTATCTAGATTTAGGGCAGAAGGGGAAAGTTTAAGTAATTTTATATATATATATATATGCCGGTGAGGTGGCTGAGCGGTTAGCGTGCCTGACTGTGAGTTTGAATCCTGCTCTGGGCATGGATGTTTCCTTCTACGTGTTGTGAATGTGGCCCACCCCAAGAACAGGTATGTGTGGCGTGGGAAATGTTGTTTGCCTCCGTGACTTAGGTTTACAAGTGCCCACTGGGTAACGTAAAATGAGCAACACTTCTGGCATCTTCCAAGGTGAAGAACGAAACTTCAGTCTGATGGCCTGTATTTGATTCTTTTTACTTCAAACAGAGTAATTTTATTGCTATAATTTAAAACATTCATAGTTAAACAGAAAATTATATAGTCAATTCAGTTCCTTAAGGAACGAAAAAAAAAAGGAATTTGACATTTTATGACAAATTGACAAGCATAATTAAGGTAAAAAATACATGTCTTTACAATATATCATATAAGATTAAGCCTCCACCTAAATTTTGATGAAAATCATGACGAAGTAGGGGGATAAACAGAAGCAAGAAAATAGAACATAATTAATAATGCAAATATGTAACTCAATTTAATTAAAGTCAAGTTAAATAATTAAATCGTGTTGATATGAGTGGCTATGTGTAACTTTTAAATCACATAAATCAGTATTTAATAAAACTGTGTGATTAAGAATTGCGATATTGGATTTTAAAAATGTATGAATACAAATCACAATATTGGATTTTTAAATCACTCAAATTTGAATTGGGATGTGTAATTTACATATAATTGATTGCGGACACTATTGTGACCGAAAAAATTGTCCGTTTAAGGGTAGGGTAGCATAATAACGAAGTTTAGCAGTGTAAATTGTTTTTAGAATATTTTCAATGATATAAAAATAATTGAATAATCTAAAATAACCAGGCCCCTCTTCCCCACTGGGCACTATGGGCACGTGCCCAGGGCCCCGCGATCGAATGGGGCCCCCTAGTTCCTGCCAGATNGAAAGAATACCATCGCAATTTTGATCCTCTGCAGAGGGGATGGCTCCCCTGCTTTGGTAGCTCGACAACCTGCGCTTGAAGTCGAGCGCTTTACTGGAGAACAGTTTAACGACAACCAATACCCCACACCCTCGGTTCCTGTATAGAATAGGCCTATGCAGGCTGATCAAACTGGTCACCCAACCAGCTTACTAACCGCAGGCAGTGATTCTTGACTCCGGTGTTCTACTGGGAGCCGTGTCATTGCTATAAATCCTCTGCGGGATCCTAAACTGGGAGCGATTTTTCCCTCAATGGGGCGATGAGTATTAAAAAGAAAATAAATGTAAACAATGTAACCATTCGTTCCGACAAAGAACTACGAATTTTTTTAAAAAAAAGAGAAAATAAAAAAAAATTAAAATTTCTGAGCTTTTTCGTCATACTTGGTGTTAAACAAAGATGTCTTCCAGATCCGCTCAGAACTAACAAATAGGTTGAACAGTTGCTTGAAAGCTTTATTGTTAATCGTGTTTTAGAAATTTGTGTAATCTTGAACTCGAAATCACAAACAAACTTGATTACATTTAGTCTTTTGTCAAATTATTCTAAACACTGTTATGAAGACTTTAGAAAAACATATTATTTATTTTGCTAATGCACCGTTAAATTTATTATGTTGAAAAATCGTTATGACTTTCTTTTTTCCCATTAGATTGTAAGCAAAGCTTTAAAAATTTTTTTTGATTTTAATTATGCAAAATATTTGATAGCTATAGTAGGGGGAAAGAATATTAAGATTCGGTACATTTTCGAACAGCGAATTCCAAGCTATTGATGTTTATGCGAAAATAAAAATATTTTAAAGCAATATACAAATATATATATATATTATATTCGGTATATAATTAAAATATTAATACAGAATACTTATATATTCATTTAGAACCATACGCAAATATTTATTTAAAATAAAACTTTCCATTTTAAAGTATTTTTTTGAAACATGAAACTAACTTATAAATTATATAAGATTTTATCGATATAAAAAAAAATTATTTGGCACATTTACACACGCACTTTCTAACTATACAAAAAATTTTATCATACAAAATTTACCATTAAGCGGAAAGTCTGTACTAATTGAAATCGCTTATCAGCACATAGTTAAAAAGAAATGTAAAATTTACTGAAAAAAAAAAACCTTTGAACCGAGAGGCCAGTATAAAACTGTTAATTTCGCAGAAAAATGTTATTTAAAAATGGGCATTCTGCTTTTAATAAGTTGAGCACTGTTATTTTCTTAAAAAGTGCCACGATAATTAAAAAAAATACACATTCATTTTTGAATTAAGTACTACACAATACAATGTAATTTACTTTAAGTGTTATGATAACTGATAAATATACCATTTGATAAAATTTCCTTACAAATTTTGTCTAGACCAATTGGGCTCTTTATATATATTTCATACATCAAACCATATGAAGTATCAATCATGTTCTGGCTTTAGATGGTAAATATTTAAATTAAGTTCTATTATAATATAAATTTTTGTGACAACATACAAATGACTTATTACAGAAAATTTTTTATAAGGGAATCATTAAAAGCACGATGAAGTTACCTTGGATATGTATTTATATGGACGAAAAATGCGACTAAATCATAAAAGAAAAGTATTTTTTTTTTCCAAATATTGTTTACAAAATTTGATTAAAATTTCAAAAAATGCAAATAAGTATTAACTTTTCAGCTCAAGCGTAATTTTTAGGTTGTAATTTATATACTATCACGTTAAGAATCCTGCATATGATTACAGCATGTATTAATGAATGTACAATTTAAAGAATAATACACATTTTCTTCACAGTGATTTTTGTAGCTAAAATGTAGTGCTAAATACAGTAACTTTGAACAGTTAAAAACATTAAATTAGAAGGATCAAAAATAAAAAATAATAAGCAAACTAATCTTAAATATTAAGTAAAATAAAATGAAACAAAAAAAAAAACAGCATAAGTATTCCATTCTGAACAATTAGAACTTTTATTAAGAACACCTAAAAAAATAAGTAATTGTGTTTAGGTCTATCACATATTTTATAAGCATGCTCAGAGAAAAATAATTTCTTAATAACCCTATAATTTTAAATAATTTTTTAAATTGTTATTTAGCACAGTAAAAATCAAAGTGAATAATGAAAAGGATATATAAGAAACTCATGGATCTTAATTATAGAAAAAATTCTCCCAACTTTTTCAAGTTTTCAAAACAGAAAAAAAAATCCTGAACCAAAATTTTGAGAATACAGCAATTAGTGTTTTGAAAACATTTTTTATCAACATAAAATCAATATTTTTAAATCTCTTTTAAACAAAAATTGTTAACAAAACTTATGTCCTCATTGATAATACCATAAAATAATTTTAAGGTGAAAAAAATACAAAAACTTGAGCATTCAGTTAATGAGAGTATTATTTATTTCAATATTTCTACAAATAGATTCAAATAAGTATATTTGTTTACAGACAAATTAACAGCACTTTTGCTTCCAATTAATCTTCATATCCATCAGGTAAAGCATTCACTTTGGGATTGTGAAACAAAGTGTGATTGCCATCACCCCAGGGAAATCTCTGGAAAAAAATTAATAAGAATTTAATTAAGAAAAATAATGATGAACACTTATTAATTAACTCATAATTTTTTTTCTTTTTTTCTGTCTTAGTAAAACTATTTTACTAAGTACCAATAGTAACGAGTAAAATTATAAAATACTTTTAGTATGTCTGGCCAAAGTTCTAATAAAAATTTTAGGGCAGATTATTAGGCCCAACTATTAGGGCAGAAGGGGTAAGTTTAGGTAATATATATATAGCATTTTGTAAAAATGTTTCTACATCTAATCATCGGATAACAACTAATATTGACACATTTCAGAGTTTTTAATCTTTCTTTCATAACACTAATAGGCTTATCAGCTAATTATAGATTATCTCAGTTTAGGCAGTTCTGTGAAACTAATAAAATTAGAAAACTAGAGTGTCTATTACAATTTAAAAGCAAATGGCCAATAACCAAAATAATTAAGATATATGTACAGACACAAGAGAGGGAAAAGTGTAATGAACCTGAAAATACATAGCAACACAAATCATAAAAAAGTGAGTGAAACTATTTTGCGCAAAAGAAAAGGTTAAAATTATCTACATATTTATTTGAAGTTTTTTTTCTTCTTACTATATGTGTACATTGACAGTCTCAAACTGTTAAGCTTTAGATATATAAATAATGATTAAAGAGAAATAAAGTTAAACAACAAGTTTAGAAAGTCGGAAGATCTCATGGCCTGTATTTAATTCATTTTACTTCAAACAGAGAAGTTTTATTGCTATAATAATTTAAAACATTTGTAGTTAAACAGAAAATTATATAGTCAATTCAGTTCCCTAAAGAAAAAAAAAAATCATCTATGACAAGCATAATTAAAGTAAAAAATAAATTTCTTTACAATATACCGTAATATATATATATTAAGCCTCCACCTAAATTTTGACAAAAATCATGACGAAGTAGGGGGATAAACAGAAGCAAGAAAATAGCATAATTAATAAAGCAAAAATGTAACTCGATTTAATTAAATAAAAAACAAATGAAAGTAAAGTTAAATAATTAAATCGTGTTAATATGAGTGACTATGCGTAACTTTTAAACCACATAAATCAGTATTTAACAAAATGGTGTGATTAAGATAATGGATTTTAAAAATGCATGAACACAAATCGCAATATTGGATTTTTAAATCATTCAAATTTGAATCGGGATGTTTAATTTTCATATAATTGAGATTTGAATCGCAATACAGCGAAACTTCGGTTAAACGGACACTCTCGGGACTGAAAAAATTGTGCGTTTACGGGAAGGGTAGCCTAATAACGAAGTTAAACAATGTAAATTGTTTTAAGAATATTTTCAATGATATAGAAATAATTGAATAATCTACAATGACTATCTACAAGTATATTTGTTCACACTTTAAAAAAATAATTTTTTTTACATAAAAATTATTTATCAAAAAGTTTGACATAAATATATAATTCTAGATGTAGCTACAGTATATATTATAATTTTTAGATGAACACAGTCATTCAAGTTAGACATATGATGCAGAATAGAAGCTTTTAGTCCTCAGTCAGTTTCAGTTATTAGGTTTACGCATTGAACACCTACCCATCTCTTGATAGGAAATAAGGTTAATACCTCCTTGAAAGTTAACCTCCCGCGATTCACAGAAAAAGAAAACAATGCATACCTATAGGGCACAAGAACCTATGGAGTTGATATATTTACAATTGATCATCTTTCAAGAGTCTGAATTAATGTTTCATTTATATAAACACATCAGACTATATTTCTGTTCTCTTTTTTTTCTTCCAGCTGTGTTAAATACAGCCTTAAAATTAATATAAAAATGAAAGAAATTTTTAAAGGGGAAGAGTCATTGAGAGCATTTAAGACGTCACTTTAGCTTGTGGGGTCTCATAGTCTGTGTTGTCTAGATGAAAAGATCAAAATATGCCTCTGTCCAATTTATTTCACATGAACAATATAATTTTCTCTCCTTTTTTTGCAAAGATAAGGCAAGATGATAGGAGAAAGAGTGATTCTCTAGTAGTGAAATAGTTTAACAATATTTTTAGTTATAAATAAAGCAAAAAATTACATCTGTTAAAAATTATTTAAAGTTGCATATTTTACTTCGAATTTCCTTTCAAATTTAGGAAATCGGTGTCCGGTTTGAAAAGATAGAAAATATCGTTTCAAGGCAAAAATGACTGTCTGTGCTCGGTTATGAGAGTGTCCGCTTTGTGGAGAACGTACATAATGGTTAATTCATAGAAGATTCAAGGGATCAAGGGGAATTAAAAATATGTACGTATTGAGAGGCGTTCGATTTGTNGATTTTGCTCATCTTAAATCTAGAAGGGTACCTTTGCAATCAACATAGAATTAATCTAAGGATTTTAAGTTAAGCGAGTTACTTTTGTAGATTATTTTTTATATTTCCTATTTTTTTATAGCTAGTAACTAAATAAAAATAAATTTAGAACCTTGTTTGTCTTTCTTTATCTATTGTAACTAAATAGTGTTTTCTCAAGGTCATAGGGGCCCCATGATCCTAATGTGCCCAGGGCCTCAAATAGTTTAAAGACGGCCCTGAAAATAACTATCTACGAGGATATTTGTTTACACTTTAAAAAATACTATTTTACACATAAAGAACATATGAAAACGTTTGATACAAATATGCAATTCTAGATGTAGCTACAGATAAACGAATATAATTTTTCTATTAACACAGACATTCAAGTTAGTCATATGATACCGAATAGGAGCTTTTAGTTCTCGGTCAGTTTCAATTATTAGGCTTACACACAAAACACCTACCCATCTCTTGGTAGGAAATGTGGTTAATACGTCCTAAAAAGTAAACCACCCGCGATTCGCAGAAAAAAGAAAGCAATGCATATCTATAAGGCATGAGAACCAATGGAATTGATACATTCACAATTGATAATCTATCAAGTGACTGAATAAATGTTTCATTTATCTGAACACATCAAAGACTATATTTCTGTTCTTTTTTTCTTGTTCTCCCAGCTGTGATAAACATAGCCTTAAAATTAATAATAAAATAAAATAAATTTTCAAAGGGGGTGAAGTATCAACAGCATTTAAGACGTCATTTTAGCTGGTGGGGTCTCATAACCCGTGCTGTCCAGAGGAAAAGGATCAAAATATGACGCTGTCCAAATTATTTCACGTGAGAAATATCATTTTCTCTCCTTTCTTTGTAAAGATAAGGCAAGATGAAAGGAGAAAGAGTGATTCTTTAGTAGTGAAACAGTTTATCAATATTTAACAAAAATTTACATCCGTTAAACATTTAAAATTGCATATTTTTCTTGGAATTTAAAGAAGAAATAATTTTTTCCCCCTTTCAAATTTAGGAAAATGGTGCTTTGTTTGAAGAGATAGAAAATATCGTAACAGGGCAAAAATGACTGTCCGCGTCCGGTTACGAGAGTCCACTTTGCGGAGAATGTACACAATGGTTTATTCATAGAAGATTCACAGGAATTAAAAATATGTACGTATTGAGAGGCGTTCGTTTTGTAGGACTGTCCATATCATGAGGTTTCACTGTATTTTATCTTTAAAAATCAAGTGGTTACTCTTGATAAAAGTAAGAAAACATCCGTAAAAAGTAAGAATTTCAATATTTGAATTTGCACATAGCGAGTGTCAATATTATACTCAGAATGTGGAAGGTTGATGGGGTTTATTCGTTTTTGATCACTGGTCATGGTAAATATTTCTATGAAACTATGGGGGCTTAATTGAATGAGGAGGCTTGTTCACCATTTTAGGATATATACAAAATTTTAATACACTGAGTTAAGAAGTAAACAATGCATTATAAACAGTATGCTTAGAAAAATTTAATAAACAGAAATATGTACAACAGTGGGAGAAACATATTCAGTTCTGGACATTTTTTCAATTTCTCATGAGTATTAATAAAGTTAAAGCAGAGGTTTGAGGGACTGGTGATAAATGACAAATGAAAAGTTATTGAACAGCCTATGCCAAAAAATATAGCACTAAGCTTGTAATTTGTATCATTATTTTGCTGATCATTTGCAGTAACTGCACTAAATTTTCGCAAACCAAGACTAAATATTAATAGAATTATGGACATTTTATTTATAATTTTTTTTTGCTCTATGTTTTTTTAATTATATAGAAATATTTAATAAAATGAAACAAAATGTGCTGAGTAATTTAAATAAACAAAAATATAAAATTTGAAAAAAAAAAAATCTTTATAATATGCACAAGATATAAGCGTTAAATTTTTAAAATTTTACTATGAATATGTAAAATTTTAAAGGATCATGTTTCATTATGGAATAATAATTTTGTTAATTTTTTTCTTAAATATATACATTTCAATTTTAGGAATAATTTTGTATCAAAAATGCATTTTTGTCCTCTCATCTTGGAAAATATAGGTTTTTTGCCACTTTGCTTGGCAAAAACCTGTTTTTGCCAGGACGATTTTTACCAGTTTTTTTCCACCTGTGGCAAAATCTTGCCAACCCTGGAAAGCATATTGCACCTTATTGCTTATTTAACCTTAGAAGCTTATTGCACATTTTTTGGCATAGGAATTTCAAAAACATTCTTTGTTCATAATTTATTGCTGGCCTCTCAAAACTCTGAAAGTTTATTGGTATGCATGAGAACACTTCTAAGTAACAAAAGAATTCTTTTAATTATTTCTAAAGAATTGAAAATGGAATGTAGGGTTTAATGGCACAAGGTCCACAAAAGGACATGCTGCACAAAACAATCAGTTTCAAGTATTTCTAGAGAAATTTGAAAAAAAAAAAATGCCATAAACTGAAAATATCTATTCCATAGTAGTAAGGTAGTGTATGCTCACCTTCTTGCGAATACGCAAGTGTTCATAAGCAATGAATTCTGGCCTGTGAAAATGCTCCAAATGTTCCTTTTCTCCTAAGTAAGCATTGACCATGCATAAGCCAACAGCAGGAAGTGACACAAACAGAAATAGCTTTTTCCATAGTTTAACACCCTCTGAAATAATAAAGCAAGTAAAAACAATGCAAATAAAGTATTAATACCATCTTATGAACCTTCTCTGAAAAACATTATACTTAACGCAAATAATTATGCAGCTTTGATATGTTATGGTAAAAACCTGAAGTCTGGTAAATTCTCAGTTTTATCGAGATAGTCACTAATATAAAACTTATCTTAGTAACTTGGTAAAAGTCTGCTTTAATACAATTCCATTTCAGCTTTTTACTAAGCCTATGATATAAAATCTAAGAGTTACCAACTTCTTAGGTAAATCCCAGGTTTTACCAGTAAAACCAGAAATTTACCACTTTTATGTTTTTATAGGTAAAAAACTGGAAATTTAATGAATCTTAGGTTTAACCTGTAAATTGTAGGTTTTGCTAAAGTGGCTTCATATAAGTCAAAAGTATGCTTTAATAAGATTCCGTTTCAGCCTTTGCCATAAAATCTAGGAGTTACCAAGCAACTTTGGTAAATCCTTGATTTTGCTAGACTTTGGGCTTTTATTGTAACATATACTCATGTTTAAAGCAGGGTTGGGTTTTTGCCGTCAAAAACCTACTGTTTTCTTTAATGTATGGCGTACAGAAGACAATATATTATTTTCACGTAATTGCCTTTGTAAATGATTGAATAAATGAATGTTGTAAATGATTGCTATTGATTTTGCAACTATATTCATGTATTCTTATAGAAGGATATACATTCGTATAGAAATATTGTAATATACTTATTGAAAATAGTGATACTTATTTTTATCATTATAGCTTGATTTGCAAAGGATTCAAAATTTTGCTCTTCTTAATTGTTAGAAATAAACAAACAAAAAAGCTTGGAACTATTAATAAATTCAAGAACTAAAAAGAAGAATTTAAAATTTGGCATTTTTTAAATATTAGAAATAAGCTTAACAAAACTTTCAAAACTTATAGCTACTAACAAAGTCAAGAATGACTTGACATTCTTCAGTAATGTAATATGCCGAACAAAATGATGCTTGGAAATGTTGAAAATTTTATTTAGTATCCTAATATTTTACTTCAAATAGTATGTTTTGATATAATCATGTCGGGAAAATGCAAGAATCTGTTCTTAAATATCTTTTAACAACTTTTTTTCTAATTTTATTGCCTAAAATGAATTAATTTTAAATTACAAGCTGTTAAACTCAAATAAAAATACAGTTTTACCCAAACTATGGGTTTTTGACATGACGGTAAAAACCATGGTATAAACAGTCATGTGTCAAAAACTTGCCAACCCTGGTTTAAAGTATCCTTGCTTAATTAAGTAATCCATGGATCAGCTAAAATACTCACTAGAGATAGTCAATTTATAAAGTATCTTTAGAACTCGACACATTATGTACTACAGTAAGTATAAATATGGAAAAACACATTACATTGATTAACAATTATAATAACTTAATTACTAACATAATAAATAGACAACAATGATGACAAACTTAAAACACCTAATTTTTTAAAAATTCAGTTGAAATTCTGCATTGATTGATAAATTTAAATAACACATAATGACAAGATATAGAGTTAGGTGGGGTAAAATGGGAATATGTTAAAAAATATTTTTTCTCCTATGACTATTATGACTGTGTTGCTAATAATTTACCTTATTGACTGATAACCAATATAGGCTACTAATTCATAATCTATTAATTCATTTATTTTAATACTAAGCATAACTTTCTACTCATTCATGTGCTTAGAAACTAAGTTATAAAATGTATATCTAATAAAATCTTGAAAGATATTCAAGTGCTAGAATAATACATAAAATTTGCAAAACTTGCAGTTGTCAGAAGTCGACTAGAGGATTGTTATTTAAATTTAGGAATTACAAGATAGATAATAATATTGCTATTTAATACAATAACTTATATATTTATGTGTTTAAAAAAAAACACCACAGAATATTTCTGTAGTTAAATTACTTTTAATGATTCAAGTATTGTTTTAAAACAACATATCTGAAAATTATGTTATGCTAAATTTATAAAAATAGAACACAACTTTAAAGACAATAAGTTACTCCTTAAAANCGTACTCTAAGGGGGGGGAGTAAGACCTTATGTACGGTAATGTACGAAGGGGTGGGAGGGGTTTGAAATTTCTCCATTTTTGTGTACGTACTTTTTGAACGGCCCCACTAGAGGATTGTTATTTAAATATAGGAATTACAAGATTGATAATAATATCGCTATTTAAGACAATAACTTATATATTTATGTGTTTAAAAAAAAACACCACAGAATATTTCTGTAGTTAAAATACTTTTAATTTTTTAAGTATTGTTTTAAAACAACATATTTGAAAATTATGTTATGCTAAATTTATAAAAATAGAACATAACTTTAAAGACAATAAGTTACTACTTAAAAAAAATGTTAGTATGCTGTTTAATCTTGAAATAGTTTACGAACAAGCAGGCGTTAAGGTAATTACAGAAAAGACTATAAGCAGCCTATAATAATAACGATTTGTATTCTATTATTTAATTTTCTGAACAGCATATGAATATGTGCTTTACTGCAAAAAAATTATAATAATAGACTGTTAATTGACAAATCAAAGAAAATTAGTGCATCATTGTTTGGGAATTCTATTTTATTGAACAAGTCCAAAAACCAAAAGAATTAACTTATGTAACTAAAGAATAGAATAGACAAATTACTTTCATAATCCTTCGGATTTGGAGGGTGCAATATGGTATTTAATCTAACAGAAGAAGTATGAAAACTACGAAATCCTCGAAAAGCAGCCATGTTTGCCCTGGAAATGACCTACCGACGATTTGTTGTTGTTCTTATGCTTTTTAAACTGAATTGAAGAGATTTAAAATTAAAAAAAACTCCACAAAACGAGGCTAAAAATTGTTAAAGATTTTTGAAATATTTTCTAATTTAAATATGTACAAATATTTACAATTGTTGTGATTTTTTAAATTTCAAAAATGCAAAATATATCCGCTTATTAAAATAGGTTGATAAAAAATATTTTGATGAAATAACAATAATTTTTAAGTTTTAACATGGATATATTATGAAATATCATTTAAAAATAATAACTTTACATTATTAAAAACACATTGCACTAGATTTTAATCGTAATCGTTCAGTTTTCTCCAAAAAATATACTAACGTTTTTGCACTTAATAGTTCGTTCGTAAACTGTAGTGAAATTCTAACCTATACTTGGAAATTTTTAAACTTTTAAATTGTAAAAATGTGAAGCGTAATAATGAGTGTTTTTTAGAATATCCTTATCACATGACAACAAACTGCATGACAGAAAAGAAAAAGAAACTATTCTTATTATTGTTTACAAATCTTTGTGACTTCAAAAGTACCGCGATTCCGCTTTATGATGAATCAGAAAATTAACAATGCGGGTGGAGTAATAAAAGTGTAATTCCATTAAAATTTTTTTGAGTAAATACTTATTATTATGTATTAAATATGCCTTATTTCTGTTGCATGACTTTTTCTCTCCTTTTAACTGCTTTTAGTCATTTGCGTTTTATTGCATTAAATCTTCTTTTAATGATAAAAATTGCTTTTTAATTTGTAAATATTTAAGAAAATAAATTAGATCAACTATATTTTTAATGCCTAGTAAATAATGTTTGTGTAAAATTAAAACTAGCTCGTTAACATTACGTTGTAGACAATGTTATAATTATTTATTCATTTATTTTTCAGATATTATTTCTAAAAGAGTGGTTTCTAATATCGGATATCATTTTGGACTAAGTAAGCATTTAACTGAAATAAGTAAGAATATAGTGTGTATATGTGTTTTTTTTTTCCCTTCATAAATAGGACTGAACTTAAATATACTGTCATGAATTAAAAATGGTAATGATAATTCAGATTAGTATGTTTTTATAATAAAGGATTTCATTCTAGTTTTCATTAGCTTGAACTTTGTGTTATCTTATTTATAAAGCTGTTTTTATGTTTATTTAAACTGATACGTGCATGAAATTCTGAATTAAAGTATACAAATATTTCCTAAATTCATTTTAATGCCTAGTCTCATGCTTCTTTAAATAAAAAAGATATTTAAATCCCAGTTGTGGTATAAATTTAAATTGACAGAGAAATATGTTTGCTGTTAATGTAACATGTAATCAAAATCTTGTTTAAAGAGCTTCTTTAAAGATATTTATGTTCTTAAAAAAATGTGAAAAGTTGTGTTTAAGAACACATTATGTTTATTTAAGTATGCAGAATTAATTTCATGTTTCCGCAATGCCATTAAATAATAAGGTTTTTAATTAAAAAGATATGTTTTGTAAGCAGCTTCTTACTGTTATATTTTTCATGCTAAAGTTTCTAAATCTTCTGAAATGTCATTTAGAGCTTTTTTTCACTGAGCTTTTCAGTTAAACGTCATTCTAATTTATTGTAGTTTTGGACATAACTTACTGCATGAGATTTAATACATTTTTCTTTCAATAAAAATGAAATATTATAACATAAAATATGTAAAGTTATAATCTTGTACTGTATTCTATGTAATTGAGACAATTAATTAGAAATGTGCAGTTGACTGCATTTTCATCTGTCTTTGTTATACGAGCTATTTAGAGAATCAAGATTTTACTGAAGTAACTGTGCATAGAATATGCATATGAATGTGCTAAATCTCTCTATTGTCCCAAAACTTTTTTTTACTTTTTATTGTGATTTTAAGCACAGTAACTTAAAATTTAAGATTTAGTCCATTTTTTTTTTAAAAGAAAAAATATTTCATTGTAATGATGGAGCTGTAATTTTAACGATTGACTGATTTCTTATTTAGCTAATGAATATGTGATAAAGTATATCTCTATATGTTATTTTTATTAATTTTTTTAGCAATATCATTTATTAAATTTCATAAATTTTTCAACTGCATTTAGCTTTAAAAAAGTTTATCCCAAAAGGAAAAAAAAAGATGAAATTCACTCTGATTTTAAAAATATAATGTAATACATTGTTATTAAATAAAATTGCAAAAATTTTTTGCATTGTTTTAACACAATACCAAGTAGATTAGAAAAATAAATTTCATTCACAAATTGAAATTATTATGTGTTTAACAACAGATTTTTATCTTACAAATTCATTTTTCTACCTTTAACTAAGAAATAATTTAAAAAAATCATTAATTTTCCATACGGCAACTGCCAAGTGTGTTTGGTATATTTTTGGTTCATGAAAAATCATGTTGTATAAATAATTAAATGTTTTTGTTGTTGTCTTGTATATGTTAGTGCTAAGTATAAGTAATTAAATGAAACTAAAACATTTACTTCTCCCTTTTGAAGCAGGTTATTACTGGTAATTTCTTTTTACATATTTCCCATAATTGTATTTAAGAATTTTTCTGTATGTTTGGTTAAACTTGTTCATTTCAGTACAGTAAAAAAATCTGACAAATTTCATTATAGATTAAGAAATGGAAAATCCCAGTGAAGAATACAGGCCTCTATTTGGGAGTTCTGTGCCAGATAGGCCTTTGTTTGGAGATTCCAATAGAAGAGTAAGATTATTTCAGTGATAAAATCTGTAAAACAAATAATAATATATGTTTACAAAAGCAACAGTATTTAATTCCTCTTGGTTGTCCAATTCTAAATACGAGATATATGTTTTGTGTTTGGTCACAAAGTATAGAATAAGTATTAACACATCTATAATTCACTGAAGAACACTCTTTCGTGTGCTAACTTAAAATGATTGAAATCAATGTTATATGTGTAATGGATTTTATTTTTAGATTTTAACCAGCAATTAAAGTGAAAAATAATAACTTTAACTGTTTTACTTTTAGAAACTATGTACGTTTTAAACAAAATATTGTGAAGAATGATCAATTTATTCTAATAATTTTTTTTAAATAATTTATTGTGATTAATAGAATTAATAATTTTCATAATATTAATGCATTTATTATAAGCTAGATTTTATTTTCAGGATCGAGTTGTAAATATGGTGCTTGGAATAATAACAACTTTGTTAGTTTTGGTAATTATTTTATTTATTTTAGCTTTCTCTTTTGTAATTAAGTGCAGTAAATAAAGAGACATATTTGGTATTTCTATTTTAAATGCCATTAAAGAACTTTTAAATTGATTATATTTCGAATCATAATAATGATACTTTTTTTTTACATCATACTCAAATAGTGAACAATAATATACAGTTGATACTCAAAATAATGACCTCTAGAATCCGATGTATACAGGTCTCATAACTTGAGGCTCTTATATAAGTGCACACAACATTTTCTCCCTATTAAAAATTTTAGACTTAATTGTAACAAAGCGATACTTCAATAAAAATTTTGTTAATTAACGAATTATTGATAATATTTTTTTTTAAATGTGGTACAACGACCTGTATTCAAACATTCATTTTCTGGAAAATGTCTATTTTGCAGACACTTTTTAACAATCAGAATAAACACGCCTTTTTTTCTTTTTTCAAAAAAGTTTTTTTTAATGTTATTTTTATTTGAATATCTGCATTGGTATTTCTTCACATCAAATGAAGAAAAAAAGTGAAAGAAGTGTCTTTATTCATGGAAGAGAAAGTTCAAACTATCCTCTGCTTACTTATTTATTTTTTATTTTATTAAGTGACTTAACATCCTTAAATTCATTGTCATTCAACTATTAGCAAAAGGTTGTATGAAAATTAACTTTATTTATTATTATTTTTCTTTTTTTAACACATGTTTTGACCTTTTTTTACCTCAAAGACCTATTACCAAGAAAAATTTATTTTCCGGCCATTGTCTTTGAAATTTTGGATGCAGGATTTTCTACTGCATATATTTATATTCTTTAAAAGAAAAATGCTATATTGTAAAAAATGCCCCAAAAATAATACTTCGGTTTGGAGTAATTCTTTTTTAGTAAATAACTGTAATTCTTTCCACTGTAGAAAAATTCATGAAAAGATAAAATTCTCTAGAAAAATTATATATTTTCCACAACAAGTAGAAGAAATGGAAAAATACTCCTAAAAAATTAAACATCAAACGTAAAATAATTTTTAAACAGTTTTATAATTGTATTTTTAAAGAGTTTGTAATTACATTATTATAGTTACCAAGCTATTTAATATGCCATTTTTATGTAAGTGAAAATTAAAAACTAGCAACCGAGAATAAATTAATGAATTTTTTATGAAATTAAAATAACTTCCATATTTTACATATTAAGCAAAACTTAACTTAATGATTACATGAAAACCTGTTAAATAATAAAATCAAGTTTCGCTACAATAAATTAACAAATCTGTGCAGGCAGGGCACACACGGTTTGAGGGTGTACGCTCCAGAAAAAATAACACAATGAGTTACAAAAAACTATTGTTGTTTTTTTTATTTTTAAGATACTTTATAAATAATAATAATCGTTAACTAAATTTTGAATCAAATTATTGTTAGCTATTTGCTTGCATTATTAAAATAAATTTAATTTCAATGCGGTTAAGCCAGTAAGTGTATAAATGTTTCAATTCACTAATTATTTCTATTTTGCGCCCTCTTCATCGCAAATCTTGCTTTTCGATCATGAAATTTATGATTATAAATTCCTGAATGCTTCTTATTTGCATTGTTTTTGTTTCATATTATAATTTAAATTTTTTTGTGGTGAGACGAACATAGGGTGCGCCTATGTCTACGCTAGTAGCTTTGTTTTAACATTTTATAAATTAAAAGCGACTAAAATTTATTTGTTTAAAAAAAAACAATAAAAATCAATCAAAATATTTTTTGGCTTTCATGTGTAGTGTAAGAATTTGTTTGAAAATCCTCTTTGTTGTTGATCTTACTGTGAGAGTTTTCGTAGTTTTCCTTTTTGTGAAACCAAAGTGCGGTAACACAAGAAAAATTCCATTACTAAATTCTCTTAAATAGCTAGTTTGTCCCTATGCTTGATCCAGGAGTTCCCTTGTCTTTTGGGTTGGGTTCAAAATTACAAGGCTACGTAGTCGAACATTGATAATCGTAAACTCAGAATTGGGTCGGTCTTTCAACACTGTTTATAACATAAAATAAAAAAATGTCACGAAGTACTCTGAAGGGCTGTGGTGGCTCAGGGGATAGACTGCTTGCCTCTCATTGGGGTGCGATGTGTTTGAATCCCAGCAATGGCTGGTCGTAACGAATTCTGCACCGACTTGCACCTGCTACAGTGGTGACGTAAAATATCCTCAGTGGTAGACAGATCATGGATCAGAGTCCCCTTGCCTTCAGTCTAAACATGGGAAGTTTTCATGGTTTTCCTCTCTGTGTAGCGTCCATCCTATATTTTTTAAAATTTTTAATCGTTACTTTATTTTTATGTAGGGTGTACAAAAAGTATGAAAACTATAAAATATCTTGAGAAATACACATTTGAAAATGTATGTATGATATATTTTCAAAATTGGTATTTAAGGCTACCAAACTAGCCTTACCATTCTCACTTGCTGGGGGTGGGTTAAGGAAAACAACTTTCAAGTCTTCAGTAGGACCTTCTCCTTTTTTTTAAATTAAAGACTGAACTCTCCAGAAAAAGTACCTCAGTTTGAATTACAGGTTTTTGTAGTTTGATTTTGATTTTTGTATTTGTTATAATCCCAAATTGGATACAACATACCAAAAGGGTAATACCAATAGGGTACAAACAGTTTAAAATGAATCTACTTATCAACCTTCATAAATTCAAATTTGTCTACAACCTCAACACAGTCAGAGATTATCTTTGTAAAAATTGAACATACATTCTAGCAAAATTTACAAAAATAAGGTTCATGTACACAACTTTGTCTTAATTTAAGTTACATAGTATGCTATTATTCTTAAAAAATTAAATAAATCTCTACACTCTTAAGCCTGCAATCAAGTAATGGAAATTTTTTTTTACTGAAGTATTCTTTCAATTCAGCTTTATAGTTTTATTAGAAACAAGCTTAGAGATGTTTTAAAAAGGAGTCTAAACAATTTTTCCATATTTGTTTGCATGCTTTTCAAAAATAAAGATAAAACGAAAATGAAAATTAATCTGCCGATGCTGTTATAGCCTGGAAGGTTTCTAATACCGGGATGCAGAAACCTTCCAGAATCTTATAGGAACCTATATTAGTTTAATTTAGTTGTAATTTAGAAATCGGAAGTCTTTATGAGAAATCTTCAGAGGAAGGCATTGGCCCACATTGGGCTGTCGGACCAACTATGATGATGATAGGTAATATAGGTTATCTAATATAGATTAATTAAGCCTTTTGAGGCTAGGGTGGCTGCTTAGGGGAGTGCCATTTGAGAGTTTTTTCAAAGTATCAAATACATCTGAGGAAAATGATGTCCCTGAATCCTTCTTTTAAAGATATTTCACTTGTGTATTTTTAGATATTTGATCCAATACTTTTTTCCCTATGTTTTGGATACCCAAAGATCAATAAGTTTAATATTTTCACCTTTTCAGTATGTTGCACTCATTTTTTCGCAACATTCAATTTTAACTTGAATTTTCTCTTTTTTAGATAACAATGTTTTCTGCTTTTTTTGCAAAAACACCTCCTCAAGGATTAAATGTATATTTTATCCTTTGCATTTTTCTTATTTGTTTGGGTCATATTTTATTGGTAAGTAATTTATTTGAACCTATTTTGTTTTGTATGATAGTTGATTTTAAACAGCATAATAACTTAATATTATTTAGTCTTATCTGAAACTTGCAGAAATTGATTGATTTTAAAACTATTTATTAATGTTTTCCAATTATTAAAGATAAAATGACTGTTTTATTTTATTTTTATTTATTTATTNTTTGTATGATAGTTGATTTTAAACAGCATAATAACTTAATATTATTTAGTCTTATCTGAAACTTGCAGAAATTGATTGATTTTAAAACTATTTATTAATGTTTTTCAATTATTAAAGATAAAATGACTGTTTTATTTTATTTTTATTTATTCATTCTTTTGTATGCCTCTGTAATCTTGCTTTGCTTGTATACATCTAATACTAAATGTAAATTAAAAGTTTAAAAAATAAACAGATAATCAGTACAATAAGCATTTTAAATTAAATCAGCACAATAATATTTTAAAATAAAAAGAATTGAAAATTTCAAAGTCAGTATCATAATGGATTGTTATAGAATTCATATTTAAGTGAAGTGATATTATCTGCTCTTTAAATGTATAAATTGTCTTGTGTAAGTCAAAGAGGGTACAGTAATTAGTACAGTACATATTTAATTAAAAATGTAGTCATGTTATGAAAAACCTACTTTTTAATATTTAAACTATTTATTATCTTTATCAGAGCTGCAATGATAGAGAAATTGCAATTCTGTGTTTTTAATTTTTAGCAGCACTTAAAAACATTTCAACAGGCTTATTAGGTTGTTTTATAAAGTTAGGTTATATCTTTGATTTATATAAATTTTGGTGTGAATGAAATTTGCATGTTAAAGAATGCATTTTATAACTGCTTTAAGAAATATGGAAAAATCTCTGGTTGAAAGCAGTGATTGATTTCAGGTTTTTGTTATTGAAACTAAATAGCAATACAACTATTTGTCCCTAGAGTTAAATAAGCTTTTTCTGACTTTTTAATAGTCTCTGACTATAATTCTATATTGTTTTAAATTACATTTGAATTAGGAACTTTTACTGTTTTATCTAATCTTTACACTATGTATATGATAAAGATTTACGGGAACCAATGATGATTATGCTATCTTGTATTTTTTCGCACAACCTTTAAACTTCTATCTTTAGGTTTTTTTTATTACCCTTTTTTTTTAATGAAGATGATATATTGCTTTTAATATTAATTTATATTTTATTAGTAACTTATATTATAGTGATTTATATTATAGTGAAAAATAAACAATTATTAATCTTTTTATCATATTGTTCAAATTACCAAAATAAAAAAAGTTCATAGTTGCTTATATATTTTTTAAAATTCTAATGACATAAATTGAAAGAAAAAATGACACAACTTTCCTTACAGATTTTTTTATATCTCAGCTTTCACAGAAACAAATTTTTAATTACAATGTGGTCTTGATATGTCATAATTAAAAGAAATATAGGTATAAAAATTGTAACAGTTAAACAACTCTGTCGTTTAATATTCTGACAAAAAATACCCTTTGTTTATTAAAAATTAAAAAGCCTGTACACTTATATAAATGTTTGCAAAATATCTAGTTTGCAAAATAAAATACAGAACATCTTAGTTTTGATCTAGTAATTGGATTGACATTTATTGTCCAATTTAAATGAGAGGCGAACCTTAAATATTTTTATTAATTTGTGCTAGTTAACTAATTGGTGATAATATTTTCGGTTACGAGAGCAGACTAAAATCCTATTTTCTTTAAATAAATTAGCTTTTTTTTTCTAAGAAATTTGATTTCTTGACTCTCAAAGTATGGGTGTTCGCCAATATGCTCCCGATAGTTCAGCCAAAATAGTAGTTGAAAGTAAGGGCTTTTTACAATTTACTTCAGTTTTTGCCTGTTTCGCCATTTCTCTGGATTTGCTTAAGGAATTTACAACATTATTCTGAAACTAGTTTATAGGAATATAATTCAATGAAAAATAAATATTTTTTCATATTTATTTATTATTTAATTTATTGAAGATTAAACAATTTTTTTACTGTAAAATATGCAAATTTAAACCAGCAATACTCAATTTTTTTCGACTATGGAACCATAAATGATAAACTTTTTTTTGGCAGAACTTCAACTTTTTAAATAAAGTATGTAAAGATATTTGATAATTTTCAATTTATTAACCAATAAAATACTATTTTGTTTTGAAAATATTTAATTTAAAGTGTATGAACTTTTCCATCATTTACTCGTTAATAATCGTATTTTATATTTTGTCCAACACTAGAATTTTTGTCCTAGTTTTAAATATCTAGTTTAGCAATAAATTTATTTTTGATGTGTGATTAAAATGTGCCAAATCATGTTTTTCTTTGTAATGAAAACTAAAAAATTGCTTTAAAAGTTTAAAATGATTATTAGGAAGTTTATTAGCAAATTAAATTATTTTATTTTGTTTGAACAGCTTGATGGGAAATACTAATGCAACTTTAATGCATATCCTTCCCATAGATTATTATGGATAAATAATTTTGGAAATATTGTTTTTAAAAAAACTGAAATTTTTTTGGCATTTTATTTTTAAATAATTTCATAAGAGCAAAAGAAATATTACAAAAATAATGGATTATTTATTGCATTTAAGTGTATTGAAAAGTTTCAAATTCATTAAGCGAAAAAAAAATAAAAATTCTAATTTTTCGGAATATCTTAATTCTACAGAACCCTAGTTTTCTGCCAAATACCATTTTGTAACCGCTGGTTTAAGCTAAGTAGTTTTATTTTTGAACGGAATCAGTTGAATACTTCTTATAAAGAAAAAATTAAAAGTTTCATTTTTTTTTAAATTTTATTATTTAGAAACTATTAGATTTTGCTCAAATTTTATAATTTATTATACAAAAATAAAAAAATGAAATTTTCTTTGGATAAACAAATTTTACAATTCTGTGTGAAATTATTTTAATTCTCTTTACAAGTTCCAGAGTTATAATGAAATTACATCATTAGTGAAATTGCTCCTAAGGAGCCCAAACTTTAGACTATTTTCATGCTCAGAAACTTTCGTACTAACTATTATGAACATATTTTCCAGATAGTGTCTAGTACATAGTGTGTCTATCTCATTGTTTTTAGGTTAAAAAACTGAACATATTGAAAGTTTTCTTGACGCAGTTTGTAATGTAAAGACAATCATTTGCACTAATTAATTATCTAGTTTAATTTTAGTATTAAGGTTATTTTTTTTCTTTTCATTTCGCTCACTGTACTAGTGTGAGAGTGAATAAGTGTGCATTTTCTACAAGCATTTTCCATTGTGTGTTTGATTCCAAACACGAAAAAATGCATAGCATTAATTGTAATTTTAGAGATCAAAAGTAATTAAATATGTTAGGTATATAGCTTTTATCCTTTTAACTAAGGGAAATTCATATAACTTTTCTTTAGAGCGCATTATAACCTGGCGTAAAACTAGTTTTTTTTCTGAGAGAAGAATGAGTTTAGAGTCAACAGTTAAAAGGTTAATGTATGTATGATGCATCTTTAGTTCCCAATGTATATTATACTGTATTCAAATAGGCTTTTCATTTTAGATATATTGGTATCGCCAGGGAGATTTAGATCCAAAGTTTCGATTGTTAATTTATTACAATGCCCTCACCATAATTTTACTCACTACGTGTGCCCTCTCATTCTTCTTCACTGAACGATGACCCCCGGTTCATCATCACTTCATGTTGATCAGAAATGTAAGCTCATTTATAAGACTTTACTACTAGTCACTTTTTTAAATTGATATATATGCATATATTTACATATTTATCTTACTAATTAATTTATACATTGTATTGTTGGTGCATTGTGAATTTTTTTTTTTTATGAAATTTTTGGCTACTTAGGAAAAGTTTAAAATATTGCCAGCCATTTTCTAATTGACTTATTTTGATAATGTTGTTAAATTTGCCTGAAATAGGAATTCCCATTTATCCTATTTTATAAGTCTATCCCTTATTTTTAATTATGAGATAGCAAATTTCTGATATGTCGGGTGTATAAGTCAATCGCTGAAAAAATTAAAAATATAACTATAATATATTTGCATTAATGAAAAATCTATTAACAAAATGTTGTGAGTCACCAGTTGAACAGGTTTTTTTTTTCAAAAACAGAAAATACTATCAAAGCCGTGTTCATGTGTCAAAAAAGCACGTAGCAAAATAAATGGTGTTATGTTTTTTTGAAATACTCTTGAATAAATTATCTTAACTTTTCTTTTTCTTATTTTTTCTGAATGTGATTTGAAGTATTGTTTCTAAAACAATCCTTTATATGTGTAAAAGTACAGTATCCAAAGATGCAAAATTATTAGTGTATAACATATTGAAATTAAATTTTGAAAGGGATAGATTTATACAGAGTTATTCATATCTATCTCATTGTTTATAATGCATTAACATTTCATGATCAACGTATGTTTTCTGTATTACCGGTAAATAAGTTGGCCCCCTGACTTTCATGAAATTTTGGTCATTTGAAAAGTTGACTTATACACCAGAATATTGTAAATGGTATTAACAACTTGGGCTGAAATACAGGGTCATATAAAAAAAATTGTTGTGATTTTGAAGCCTCTTTTAAAGGTTAATTTTTATATCTCTGTAAAAGTTCTTATTATATTTTTATACTTTACTATGGAATTAATTCTTGCATTAAAATGTTGTAAAAAATGTAAGTTCCCTCTGCTTATTAGATACCAATAAAAAATTACTTCTATCACCCATCTAAAAAATTGTTTGTCGTCTGATAAGAGATAAATGGCGCACATATCCAAAGATATTGACATGGTTGAAATACTTTGTATATTCCTTATCTAATTTATATTCATATGCGTCTATTAATTTGTAGAAAACAATTTTAATTACATAATTCTACATGAAAATGAATGATGTGCTATAAATAGTACTAAAAATAAATAAATGTAACTTTTGAAGAAAAAATATGTTTTCCACAGTTTAAAAAAATTAGAAAATTCGTTAAAATTTTGAAGTGTACAATGGCACATTAATTTGTATGGAAATAAAAGTGCATAGAAGAAAAATTAATTTTGAAAGTAATTAGAACATTATATAAGGTGGCTTGTTTATTTGTTGTTGCAAAAAAAAAAAAAAGATATAATATTTGTAAAGATAGAAGAGGAAAAATAAACTGCAAATTTAGTTTTATTTCTGAAATTTTTTTTTTGCATGTTTGACTGTCAATGAATAAATTTTTTTTTTTTAGAAAAGTTATTTTTGTACATTTACTATAAAGATGCATTTTACATTTAAATGATTGACTTACAAAATGATATGGTTCATGTTTAACGTTATTTAATTTTGATGTTACTTCATCAACATGTCCTTTTATTGACAGATCCACTCATGCTATGATTTGCTCGAGCTTGTTAATTATGTTTCTCATAGATAGCGCTATGCACAGTAATGTATTTTTAATTAATATTCAGATTCAATTCAGACACTGTAACATTAAAATCATTCTATCTTAATTATTGTCTTTAAATACATTTTTCTGTTATAAAGCGTTTTGTCATAACTTATGCAACTCACTCATCTTATATGAATTAAAGAAATATGGATTCGCGAATGAATGAATTAATAACAATTGCCCCAAAAATATAATATTTCACATTTAAAAATGTATTTCATAACAATAACGAAGAATGATGTTAACATCACAGTGAAGATGAATGTTAATCAATAATACATCACTGTGCATAGTGCCATCTATGATAATAATTTAATTATTATATTAGATTAATTTAAAATCTATTAGATTAATTTGATTATTCTATTTAGAAGAAAATTAGGGTATTTACAAAAAGCACTTAACTGCTTTGGCTTTTGAAACTTTTCAATATAAGAAATACTGACATCACAAAAAAAAAAAAAAAAAAAAGAAGGAGAATAGGATTAATTTTGACATTATGCCTGAAGTATATGTTTATAAATTTATTTTTTTAATGTAAACTAAAAAGAAATTGCATTTTGCAATTGAACAGGAGAAATTGATTTCTAAAAACGTTTTTCTTTCGTAATTTAGAAAGGAGTGGAATGTATTTTGCAATAGAATATGGAAACAAGTTTTTTTTTTGTGGCAATAGCTTTTTTCACTTATGCCAATTAACATGATATAATGCACAGCAATTTATTTAAACATAAAAAGCATTAAATTTATGCTTCTTTTTCTAGTTTTTTAATATTTTATTTCAAATAATTTGTGTACATGTTTTTTTTAAAATTTTTTTTGTCAGATTCTTTGCAATGTTTTTTGTGCCTATATAATTTTATAACTTAGCAAGTTGTGTACTTTTAACAGTCGCATGTCTTGTGAAAAATACTCTTTTTAAATAATTGTTTCTAAAAATTAAAATTAATTATTATTAAAATTAATTTAAGTTTGATTTTAAGACTTTGATATACTTAATTACTTAATGGTGAGTTTTTAAATCTGGATGCAGCTTGAAATGCACCTTCACAAAAATGGACAAAACACCAAATGTGTGTCTAGAAAATTGGATGCAACTGTAAATGCATTATGGTTCCAGACTTAAGTGTCGTATTTGGGTAGATAGGTATATTATAGATGTGACTTTTCAGACAACGTCTGCCTATTCAGAATTCTAAATGATCAAATGGATTTTAGAACGCTAAAATCCTACAGCGTAAATTTACTACAATTATTATAAGTTTATAGGACCTGTGGCAACATTGTAAAAATAACTGATAACTTTTAAAGTCTTTTTTTTTAAAAAATGAAAAATATTATAAATTGTATCAAGACAGTTATGCAAATGGGCGATATTTCATTATGAATTTATTTGACTTCATCAGTTTATTCTGTAAAAAAAAAACAATGCTCATAGAATAAGTTTGATAGAATCAAACGCTATGTCCATTTTCTTAGATTAGAAGATTTTTGCAAACCCACATTTTGAGCTGTATCTAATTTTTTAAACCCACATTTTGAGCCCTGTTCATATGTGCTTATTAGTTTTTTATTTAGCAAATTTATTCTTTATTTATTCTCTTTTTTTTATTTTTTGGGCCTAAAAAAACAATATTTTTTAATTTATATATGGATCTGTTCATGTACCATCAAGGTGACTGCTGAACGACTGCAAAATTGTTTCATAATTCTTAATTTTAATTGTTGAAATTTTTTTTCTGAAAATGTGTGAGTAAATTGTATCAATTGCCATCGATATCAAATTTGTTCTGTTTTGGTACTTAAAATTGTACTTCAGCAGGTGTTTCCTAGCAATTCAGTTTTGATATCTGTAGATTTTATGATTAAGATAAACCTTCTCCCTTTATTCTAAGCTCATCTTATTCACCTGAATTATTAAATAAAGAAATAGTTATAGAGATTATTCATAGTTGTAAAGAAATAGTTTTAATATTTGCATGGAGATGCCGGTAAATAATGAATTTTAATCTTGAAAAATAAAAATGTCTACCTCAATATTGTAAGGTTGTTAAAAAAACTTCTGCAACACCCTTGCTAAAAAATCTCGTTTATAGCAATAAAGAATCAAAATCCAAAAATCAGTTTTGTCCAAAGTCATTTAGAGCTTATTGATGAAAATTTAAAACTAAGAACACCAAAAAACAACAACACAAAATGAAAATTCATAAAAGTTCAAAAATTTTCAATTCAAAAATTTTCACAAGTGTTGCAGAACTTTTTTTAACAACCTAATAATAAGCACACAAAATTAAATAAACAACATTAATAAAATTCAAATTGGGAGATTAAATTTAAGTAGAAAAAATTAGTAAAATTTAATTTTCCTAACTGGTGACACGATGGGGCTTTTCATGTCACAAAAAGGGAAAACGTGGCCTTTTCCCTCTTTCAGGAAATCGTGTATTTGAAAAACAATCATACATGATTTTGAATCTATTAAATTAATATCAGCTTTATTTTTAAATGATAGTCAAGAGCAAACGCAAACTTACTTTTACTCTGTTATTGAAATATTATCTAAATATTTTAATATTTATTTTTTTGACTAAGTTTTGTTGCATATAAATGTATTAATATATTTTATAATTTTAGAATCATTGCACAGTGATAAAATGTCATTCCAAGTTCTTCATCTGTTTTTATCTGTTCTTTACTGAAAATTTCTTATGCTGTTAGAAAAGATGTCAAAATCTAAACTTGTTATTCTCCTGAATCTGTGATGCAATATGATGACATTTTGTATGATGTACTTCGCAAAAAAAAATGTCCAATTTTGATTAGTATGTTATGAGCATTAACCATGTTGTTTATTTCAAAGTTAATTGTTATAAAATTTGCACTTTTATTATTGTTATTTACTAGAAAAGAAAAAAAAACATTTGTACTCAAATCAAAATAATTTTAAACCTTTGCTTTTAAAGGTGACTCTTGGTTTTATTTTGTGTGTTACTATTATTTTTTAATAGTCTTATTAATAAAATTATTTATTTTTGCTTATGAATTTTATTTTTGTTACTTATTTACCCAATTCCCTTGAATTTTAATTAAATTTATGATATATATATATATCTGATTTAACACATATTCATCACTTTCAAAAAACGAAAACTGTTAAATACTACCGTCATTCGGGGCTACTTTGTGCAGCGGGGGCTACTTTGTGCAAATTCGAATTTGGCATTTTTCAAGTGCTGCTATTCAGTATTATGTTTATTTCACGTTAAAAATGTGTGGAATTTGAAGATAGAAGTCTCTTCTATTACTACAAACATTTTTTCGAATTTTAAAACAATCTCAGAGTGTGTTTCGTTCATCCAATGTCAACAACTTTCCGAGGACGTCGGATGTCGAAAAGTGTGCGTGGAAACTTTAGCTGTGAAATGCAAAG